GTTATATATTTTTAGCATATTGTTCCCACTCTGATTTTAATTACCGCCGCGTTGGTTTCCTTTTTATTGTTTTAGAAGGCTTCACACGAGTAATCTCAGGAGTGAGCTCTGTGTACTGTTGGTCTGACATGTAACTGAGACTGCGGTTGCTCAATATATGCGAAAAAGCCTAAAGTACCAATTTGAAATGTCTGTTCTTGAATCACAAACAAGTATTTTTCTCAGTTTGATAAAAGAAAAGGGATACATCCAGGGGTGAAGATAGGCCAGGTGACCAGTGGTGTCATGTTCATGGCAATGCAGTCATCTAAGTATTACCATAAATGAACACTTGTAAACACTTAATTTAGTGAAGGATTTGCTGTTTTAGTGTGTTGGTTTGAACCCATGCACCAAGCGAGCTACACCTCTGGATACATCAATCATGAAGCATGAACGTGACAATTTGACATATATATGCCCTGTTTACTGATCCTTTCAGTTCAATGAATTATGCCAGTGATCCCTACTGCAATGGTGTCCTTTGCAGCTGCCACTTTTTCCATGCTTGATTGGAAGGAGAAGGCAACAAAGAGAATAATGAAAGTGCAGAACAATAGAAGTGGAGGGGAATGGGATCGCTTGGTCATTCAAGCAGTAATTGTTACCAGAACCATTGTAAGTACAATGTAGGAGAAAATGGTACTATTCGTAACTGAGCCGATTTGATATTTTTTTTGTCACTGCACATCCCAAAAAAATGATCATCTTGACATCCACTTCACAGAACTCATTGTCTCTCAATCAAACAAAGCAAAGTCAATAGGGCTCCCTTGCCCTTCCTACGGCGATCTTTCTGATTCTTGTCAATGTTAGATCTTCCTTGTCCAATATGTCGTAAATTGTAGCGGTTTCTTTATTGCCAGCATGTCTGCTGAGTTGCGCTTGATCTTACATAAATAGAAGCATAGTTCCTCTTGCTTGCTTATTCTTAGTCTAGCAATAACCGTTGATCACCCATATTAATGCACATTTGGCTACCTAGAGCTGCAGTTTTTGCTCCATGCAGTAAATCAACTAGTAGTTATCATCTAATATTTTCCCATCTTCACAGGTAGACGTTTCCAAAGCTCTATCAACGTTGTTGCTTGCAGCATTTGGGGGAAAACAAGCGTATTGATCATCAATCGCAGCGAAGTGAGCTTTCTTCTGCGCAGGTTAGCAACAGATGGAGCAATTTGCAGCTTCGTGCAAGCAGCAGCATAGCCAACCAGAAAATCATGTTCATATACTGCTACTGGGACACACATACACTGGGTACTTCTTAGTTAGTATATCATGTTCATGTCACTACAACCATAAATTTACGACATTCTTTGTCCGGTTCTTCATGTACAAAATTTATCATTGACATTATGTTGTATTCTCGTTGTTTCTACTAAATCGACATGTACGAGACAGGTGGAACAGTATACTCCCTCCGTCCCAAAATAAATGCCTCAACTTTCGTACAAAGCTGAGACACTTATTTTGGGACGGAGGGAGTAAAACACGTGTTAGTACTGTATTCTGTATACTTGGAAGTGTCAGAAAACTCAATCAAAATTCTGAAAAATGGAAGACAGTACAAAAGCTTGCGCAATAAATAAAATATATGCCGTATTCCCCTATGTTTGTTGCTCCTCATA